TGGCTGGATATGGTCAAAAAAGCTCGAATTGTTTGTTCTAGTTCGTTTTCCCCATCGCTATTTTGTCAATTTACTTTGAACTGGTTCGCTATGGGGTCTTTTGCAGCATTTTTTCGATTAGGCTCCCGGCAGCTACACCTCCAAAAAGAAGATTGACTTTTATTAGGTCGTGAAGAAAGTTCTTGCGCTTTTCGGTGTTTCGTTTTTGAACGCTTTATTTTGTTACGAATTCATGCAAGCTGCCAATGGGCTGTACGTGTTTTTGAAGAGCTTTTCTTGTTCTATCTAACCCCTTGGCTAGCTATGTTTCTTATCATTTAGTAGTCATTTTTTGAAGCCTTGAATACGGCATACCCAAGACCAAATTTGCATGATTTCCTTTTTCTAGCTCAAAGCAGGCCAGTATGGAGAGGGAGCAGGTCAAGATATTATAGACGCACTTGGCTGAGATTCGCAATAAATGTGGTCTTAAGCGATTGTTCAAAAAGCTTTTGTAAGAATAGCGAGAGCCCTATAGGTTGTGAGGGTGGTGATCGGAGATTGGACAAGCCAACGATTAGCCGAACGTTCTGGTTGAAGCACGTTTGCACAAATCTATTGTGAGGGTTCCTTCTGAACTGATCGCACTTGCATAGTGTTTTCTTGTTGAACGGGAAGAGCTGGAAAGTCCCGTAAATTCAAATAGGGCGTGCCGCGACAGCTCACCGTTTTGAAGGGTCGTTCGCCGCGTTCTAGCTTTTTTATGCCATGAAAACGACCTGAATTTGTGCCCATTTGCGACGTACGACAATGAGCGGATTTTTTGCTATAGAATACGGTTCTTTGGTTAAGTGACGGACCGCGATCAGGCCCTACAAACTTTGCAAAAGTGAAACTTCACTGAAGGAAGGTTGAGGTGATTATCATAAGGTCAGCGGCTGGTCTAGCTTTCCGTAACCAGGTGGATCTGTTAATGTGGAAAAAGTACTCATGATAAATTGTAAAATTACTCCTAGAACTCTGGCACATATGTTCGAAATTCCTCATTATAAAGGAACCGGCTCGTCCCTGACAGGTAGCTCGGACGCACATTTCACAACCAACCCTGCAGAAGTTGAACAAGATTGGCTACGAATCAGTCCTGCGAACATCCTACATGGTAGACCTTTTGCCTATAATTTGCCACTTTCTCGACTACGTGTATAGCTTCTCCAAAGAGTTATGCTTCAAAAACCAACATGATGCGGGAACGACCCCTGCCGGATTCATGGTCTCTAGGGCTCCAGTATTCTGCACTACCGGGCTAACTCAACGCAGTTGTTATTGGCAGAGGTTTGTGGATTCTAACAGTCTTTACTCCAATCAAAAAGGTTTCGAATGAGCCGAGATGCAGGCATTTGAAAATCAAGGTCCAAAAGCGCAAGAACTTTCTTCATGACCTAATACTTTTAGAATGCCATGGCATTATGTATGGAGCTCCCTTGACTAATGTCCAGCTATTAAAAAAATCATCCTCATGCTTCCTCCCTTTCTCAATCATTCATCATCTCGCATTTATAGCCTTACAGGGGCGAAACTATCTCCGAAATTGGTCCTTCCCAGCGGAGAGGCTCTTAAGGTTGTAAAAGTGTGAATAAATGATCTATACTAATGGATGGCTGAGGGCAGGGTATAGGATCACTAATATGTACCTGATTTGGAGGCTGACTGCGTTCTTCCTCATGAAAAACTACTGCCCATCTATCCAGCCGTACTTCATCAGCTTCTATGACGTCCTACAATAAATGCGTTGAAAAACTTATATCGCCCTGGCAATACGCAACATAAATGAAATTAAAACGTACCTTGAGAATGTCTAGTGGATTCTCCTCTCCAGTGTATCCACCACCCCAGCGCAGAACTCTGGCGAGATCATTTCCTGTTCCCAATGGAACAATACCACATGGAGGAGAGAAACAGGCAGCATCCTGAACATTTTTTATTTTGAACACATATGTATGTACTCGCCTAAAGTGGAAATCTGGTTAGACTTAATCGCGCTTGCTATATGGAGCCGTGGTGCTTGAAGGCCGGTCATTAAATTAGTGTGTAAGTCACGATGCGACTTCGCGCAAATCTGCGATGTTTGGCGCGCGGTAAACTTGCGCGGGTATTGAGTATAACAACCTCTGCTTTACTCGGCGAGTGGCGGACTTACGCGGCATGACGCGAAAACACCCATTTGAGCGGAAGGCAGTTGAAACAGAAACAAATTTCGAATTCAAAATTCAAGGATACCAATCCATTAACACATTGCGTACCGCGTGCGCCACCATGTGGCGCACGATTTCGCACGGAACACCATAGTATAATCTAGTTTATTCGGCACTGTTCAATGCTCCTGAACTGTTTTCACTCATTTTCAGAACGGAAACCATGTGTGTCATCACTCATAAAATTGTTGAATGATTATGATGATACATTTTTGAAAAATATAAAAAAAAATATCCGAAGATACCCATGCAACGGGAGTCCGCAATGTGTTAAAGTGCTCAAAGTACATGTTTGCACCGTTAATAGCCGGAATGGTTGAAATTTTTCGAATAAGTTTCACTTCAAATGTTTTTGAAACTGAGAGTGATTTTCGCTTCAAGAAAAAAGTACTAGTAATCATTTATTTAGTCAAATTAACTGCTGTACCGTACATCCAGCGGAGGAAAAAATCGTAAAAAAGAAACGGTCATGGCCGTAGTTCAAATTTCAATTTTATACTTCTTACAACTGTTAGGCCCGCCTTCTGGCACGCCCGCCTTTTGGCACCTTAGCTCACAACCACCACTATCGGATTCTTCTGCTGCTTTTTTTCAAAAACGTGTTCTAAAATCGTAAACAGTTTCTGGAATTCTCTAGTCGCTTGACCACTCTCCTTGCAGATGTGAAAAGAAGAAATTCACCTGCTTAGCTATATCCAGACACTGAAGCACCCATCCTATCGTGCCATCACCGCCGCACGCAAGGATCTTGTACTTTGGAATGTTCCGAAATACGTAAAGCCTCAAAACAAATCTTTTCAGCAAATCAGAGAATAGCGAATTGATTCAGCAACGTACCCAACAAGTGGTCCACCTTTCAGCACATCAAATACTTGAAAAGGATTAAGAAGTTTGCGAAAAGATTGGATAAGCTCTGTTCCTTGACAACCACCGCTTTTCACGTTGACCAGTACCAGTAATGGTTCCGAATCGGGCGGCAGCATGTGGGGCTGAACAAATATCAATTGATCAGAAGTTCATTAAATAGACATCGTAGGAACAAACGGGGAACTAACTGTGGAGCATAGAATCAAATTATGAAAAAAAAAACTACAATTCCACTGCTAATAACCTGCACGTTAGGAAGGCATAGAACGATCAGCTTCTTGTCTTCATAGATCGCGTTTTGAAGACGTTGCACAGCAGCTGTTGCTGCTTTGGGTGTGTTGAAAGTGATCACAAGTGAACCGTATTCGAAGTAAATCGGTCCTATTGCGGTGAAAGGTTTTTCTAAACGAACATTCGGCTAGAAATATCGATTTCACCAGTCGAATAAATAATTTTAATTTAATTCCAACTAATAATAACCACCATAATAATGAACAATAATGAATAGTTTCTGCTCTAATCTGGTCGGGTGTGGTAAATCAATATCAACAGAGGTGGAGTAGGCTTATTTGAAATTTTCCAAAATATTAACCAGCTTATAAATTCAAGGACTTCCGGCTAGAAGAAGGTGCCAAACACCGGAATGATGCCGCAATCAAACATAAACATTTGCCATTCCTTTTCGGAAAACTTTACTATTCTGTTTTTTAGTAATGAATTTTTGGAGCCTCAAAGAGCACAAAAATCCAGATCATCACGAGGCTTCGGGACAAGACAGTCCTAGCATTTCAGCAGACCTTAAATCCCCAATTTCAGAGTGAGCTATCAATCGATTATGACTTGGAAGTTCTCTTAATCATTTGTGACGAAAGAAAGAATCGCAAAAATTAATATCATGGATTTTCATGGTGAGCCATGAAGTGCTATTTGATTTAGAATCACACAATAAGTTATTTGTGAATTTGGCTATCACAGTCAACTATGGAAACTAATTATTGTGAGGTTTTTGCAGAAGCACCTCTTGTCAGCTTTCACACATAGGTTAGGTTAAGGTATGGATTCCAGGATAAGGCTAAAATTCGAAGAAGGGGAAATTTACATAGCAAAAGACAGGCGAACCCCCTGGGGGTGCACACCAACACGCAATTCGCAGCGGAGGATATGCCCCATAGACCTGGCATGGCCCTCGCCGCGATGATATCGGCGCGGTACGCTTCCCTCTCACTGACCCTCCAGCTGTTCAGTAGAGATAGCGTTAGCGTTGAAGAGGGCAGCGCCGATGAGAGTATCATCAATGCGGAAACCAAGGGGTAAGGAACGGGTCCCATGTCACGGGTTCTGTGCCGTTCTAGTGGTATTTGCTTCACCTCTGCACCACTGGCCATCTCTGACTTATATTCCAATGGGCTGTCTTTTCATCATGAAATCCACCTTTGAAGCATTTGCTAGTCTAGCTGTAGGAATTGATTGAATATCGTTCCTATAGCAAGTGTGCGCCCTTCTGGCATGTTTAAAACTTACTGAGTCGATGTTATCTATAGGGTCACTATATAGATACTGCTATACCAGTTTTGCAGTCAACGAAAAGTCAACAAAATTTAAGAACGCTTCAAAGTTCTTTGCATATTTTATGAAAAATGGTCACAATACCTCTTTAATACTAAATAAAGGAATTTTTCGCGGAAAAAGCTCCGCCCTGAAAACGATACCTGAAAGGAATCTTACACGGGAAGAGTGATCATTTTGTCTTGTGTGTAGGATTAGTATTATCGAAACTAACGCTTATGTTCCGTTCTTTTTGCTATGTTCATGAGGCTAGGGGGCTAAGGGTAGTCGTTGTTTCTGTGGTACACTGGGACGCGGAGCTTTTATTCCGCGAAGAATTCTTAACTACGTTGACGACGGCGCCCACTTAGTGCGCCGAACCTACCCACCTTACTAAACAGAATTATTGTTTTTTTTAATTCTCTTTCTTTTTTTTGCTTAACAGTTCTTCACACTCACAATCAATTTCATTAGTGGTAACGAGAGACTATTTTTCGTCTCCAACATTAGGAAGGGCAAGTCTTGCAGGCATGAGAAAATGGAAGGCCAGACAATTAGGAAAACAAGTCTCTTCGTGTGGGAGTGGCGGGGTAAAACGAGGTCAAGCGCGAGGCGTCGAGAATATTTTGGCAATAGCGACCCTCCTCCTGCCGCAGAGGCCGAGTCCATGAAATGACTCTTTTAAAGACCGAACTATGAGAAAGGTTGTCTTAATTCGCGCCCCAACGTTTCATATAAGCTTTTTAAGCCGTCTTAGCCAGCTGCGCGCGCGATTGATCTTTGGCGTTGCCGTGGGCAGCTTTATGCTATGGCTATGACATTTGGAACAAATACCTTCAATGATATAATGTTCTAACATGACGAAATTTCAATCTGAAAGCAGCATTTGGATAGTATATGTAAAGAGCTCTTCTAACGGCAGTATTGAAGATCGCAAAAAATTTATAAGAATAACAAATATTTAGATCAGATTAGACGAGGAAATGACTCAGCAGACTGAGGCAGCGGGAGGTTGTGTGAGTTCCAAGGCCGTAACTTGTGCTCACGTGTCAGTTCATTCGTGCTGGGGGAAAGTAATATGTCAGGACACAACTCCAGAAGATTTTCTCCTACAAATGGTTGCTAAAGGCATGCTTTATATGTCCGAATCTTAAAAAATGGCCACGTTGAGGATTTTGCTGGAGGTACGCCGAAAGTCACTTTGTCGCATGCTTGAACACTCCTGCACGATATGAGCGCAGATCTTTCAGGGTATATTATTAAAGTCAGGAGCAGCATTCGAAGATCCTCTTTCTTTTCTCTTTCCAAGAAGTGTAGGAACATTCGTTATAGCGTGTCTTATTTAACGATTACATGCTTGGTGAAGTTTACACGCTGAAGGCTGCATTTTGTCGAATAGTGTACTCTCCTGTAATCTCACACGACTTTGCAGAATCTTCTTAATTTTTCTCTGAATCGAGAGTTTCCTCTTCATGAGCGTAGTTGAACACGCGCACTAACTGGGCCTCACTCTGGCATGCGCCGTGTGTTCATCCCTTGAGATTCGAGACTCAATGAAAGATAAATACATCCGTTGGAAACGCACCGAATTTTGGTTTTTTGACTTGTTAGTGATATTTCAAAGATAAAACTCTGAGGTAGTAGAAAATCACTACGCGCACATCCTCTGAATCACGAAAACTTTATGTGGATGAGATCAGAAACAGCCTTGTATGGAAGTCTCTGCCTTCCATGGCCGACTCGATCCCTGAATGTTTGTCGCTCGACCCTGGTGCATCAATCCGACCGATCCGTTCCTCCTAGCGGCAATACGACCCCCCCCCACCCCCTGCGGACGTGTGAGGATTTCCTCAACGCACATTGACGCCTGGTGGCGGGGCGTACTGTGTCCCACGCTGTCGTCCAAAGTGTAATACACTCGCTAGTTACCTATAATTTGAAAGCTGTTATTTTGGTAAACAGAATACAACGAACGGAAAGACAGCACCAGATTGTTGCAACAAAGTTCTTACTGATGCACATTTGGACACATGCACACTATCATAAGTTTAGTTTTCTTTGATGGGCAAGGAGACCTTGAATATGACATCTTTTTTCTAACAGAACAAAAAATTCATAGAACTAGCACATAGCCTTTGGCGCCTCGTAGCTTGAGTAGAATACGTATCATATGTCGTTGCGCAAGTGATACAGGAGGTTCCGAACGAATACAGGCATGATCATGTGATCTTCTTTTTCTTGTACATAAACGCACCACGCTAGTCGCCCGTAAGGATCCTAGAAAGTCGGAAATTTGAAGTCAACGAATAAGAAAAAGGTGTACTATTGTTGACATTGAAACAGTCGTCTCAGTATTTCCAACAGCAAACGTGTCTGACTTACTCCACGTGGAGGAGAGTAATAAAAACAACTATAAGTATTGATGCCTTCAAGAGGCGAAGAAGGGACGAAGTAATGTAAACCATCGCAATAAACCTAGCTCCTCCTTCCCAGCCTTTACCGGCCTAATGAGAAATTTTGACCCTTGACGGCCGTTGTGGCCACGCGGTGGGCACACTTTCACTCAGAGGCGAATCTCGTTTTTCGCATTTATTGGCATTTCTGAGTCGTTTCAAAGCTGCTGTTGCTATTATTAAAAAGCGCACAACAATATGGCCAGTTACCTAGAAGTGAAATTGTTTCGAGTGTTAACTTGCGGAAACATTCAAAAAGACCAGTGAAAGGCCAAGCACCGCCACGTACCGGCGGCGTCGTCAAAGGTATTTAAACTGAAAGATGGTGCCGTACACAAGAAGCTACTTCCCCGCCACAACTCCCAGCAGCACTAGCCCATATTCTTCTTGACTTCCAAAAGGTATATGCTCCATCTCTGTCTTCGCTATTGATGGTACTAACTTGCTAACATGTAAAGAAAAAACGCTCAGCTAAACGGAGCCTCTGTTCATGCAGCAGACGTGTTTGTGTACTCTTCCGCGCTGTTATGCTCTTTGTTGATCATGCAAGCCCCAGGATGGAATTGGTGTGCTAACCGTAAAAAAGCTCGAGCCGTGTGGAAGGGACTACATGCGACGTTCTCTATTACGCGCGTTATTCCACCCTTGAATAGAGAATCAGGCGTGTGCGGAGCGGATTAAACGAGCTTGGCTCCAGCAGTCCCAGTGCCAATGAGATTTAACCGTAAGGCAACCGCGCCAGAGCTTTCGTCGCAGCGCCACGTGGCAGTCGACGGCAAGGCGGGGTTTGCGAACGAGGGCGTCGATTGCGGTAGAGCGAGCTTCCAACGCCTTCGCCGCGCTTTCAAGCCGCAGAAGGGGTGCGACATAAACGCTTGTCTGCCAGTCGACAACGATCAGCGATGAAACAGGTGAACGTGCCTATCCCGGACCGAACCTTTATCTCTTCTGGGGCTGATACTTGCTCGTTTAGCATAAAAAAGCCTTCAATCTTCATCGTTCACAGGGGTTTGACCTACTTTCTCTAACCGGCGATCCCCTTTGTACCCACACTTTTAACTATTTCTCAACTTTTCGTGCAAAATAGCTATTGTACATGTGAAATATGCCTTCCATGCTCTTCGCTGACCAGCTGCGGTCCAACTTTTACACTCTTAACGAGCCTGGTGGGCTTATTTATCAATAATTATTTCCTCTCCGTACAAAAGATTTTTCGAAAATAAAGAAAAAGTCTTAGAGTACATACCTTGCGAAGATTCCGAACAAGTTGCAGCATGTTCTCTTGGAAATTGCATGTTCGCTCGGCAACACCACGATCCAGTGATACTTCAATGAGATTATACCTGAAAATAAACTTTTGAAACGAGTATTCTCAAAAATAACGAAAACTGCAAGAAATTTCAAGAATCACCTGTTCCAGGTTGTTGGATCGAGGCCAAAGTTTTCCAATGCGTCTGCGAGAGCATCTTGGACCAATGTATCTTTATTTACAGTTAGCGTGCAGAACGTCACAGGAACCCTAAAAATACCGCGTGGTGGTCCAGGCTCTTGTGATAGGCTCGAAAAAAAAAGATGCATTTTTCGACATTTTTTTTCGAACTGCGGTTCTGGAAATTCAAAAAACATATAAATGATCAACCCACCTCAACCAACCACCGTATAGCTTAACAACATCCTTGTCGGGATCATCTTTGTACCTAAGAAATATCTGTGCACGTCGTCCTTCGGGCCGCTTCACGTTCCGCAACGGCACGGGATCCTCTAGTGTTTCCTCCTCACCTGCTGCAAAAACGTACCTTTAGAGTGCTCGAATGTTTCATAGTAAATATGTACATTACAATACTACTTATTAGATATTAGAAGAAACGAATTGTTGTGAGTATGAAACCAAATTGAAATACTGAAATAGAACAAGGAATATATTTAACCCATTCGCGACCGCGCCGGTTTGCGCATTAGCAGGAGAGTCAGCAGATTTTTCTTCAATAAAATTTGAGTGGATGGAGGTTCGCCGTGCCCAAGGCTGGCATAGATGAATGAGGGTATGAAGATTCTTTTCGGGAAAGAAATCTTTCCAAATTCCATTTGAAACACGGCAGCCACCGGTGGATACCATTGTACAAGTGACATCTTTGTCAGCCATCGGTGGCTGCCATTGTCACGAATCGGGTTAAAATTCTAGATTCTATCTCAGCGGATCTGTGTGAGCACCGTAGAATACCGAAAAATGAAGTACAGAAAACATCGATTTTTTATCACACATTCCTTACGAATGTGGAGCGTCTCATTGATTTTTCATACACTTTCCTTACTTCTATTTACGATATGAATCAACTACATTATTATTATTATACTTTATTGTTTAGCTTGGGACTTTAAGAACATGCACTGTGAGATCGCTGCGATCCTATATCGCATCACTGCGCCCGCCTCGCGCCGCGTCAAAAAGCAAAACGGGTGCTGTCGTCAACGCGTTAATGAGTGAGAGGATGTGCGCCACATGGCGCGATCCCCCTGGTACTGGCATTTGGCGCAGGCCGTGACTATCACATCCTACCGTGATTGGACAACTAGTCCTTCCAGCTACTTTTTATATCTTTGAGATTTAATGGGATCTTTGAGACCGTACTTATCAAGTCAATCAATTGCTGAAGTCCAGTGGTTGAGTGACCAGGACCAGTTGTCCGGCCACAGCAGGATGTGGTAATTATGACTTGTTCGCTCTAAGGCCAATATGATCGCGCCAGATGACTGCCTCCCACTAGTGAGGGAACTGTGAAGCATCTTTTTGAGTGCGTAATCAAATAAAAAAGGATAAATGTGGTAAGGTTCGCCTACACTTTGTAAAAGTCCGAAACAAATTAAATTTTGGTTGAGTGACCAGGACGAGTTGTCCGGCCACAGCAGGATGTGGTAATTATGACTTGTTCGCTCTAAGGCCAATACGATCGCGCCAGTGTTTGGACGGGTAGTTTCCTAAATAGCTTTCGACCTTTCCAGGCTCTGAAGAAGGTGAAAGCACCGAAACGTCGGCCAAATAAAGCTATTAACAATCTTGGTCGGAAGCTCAGTACTAAACTATTCTATTCTGAAAAATTAAATTTTGTTTATGAAACCGAAGTTTGCTGAAAAATAACAAACCATCGCTGACTACTTGTGTCACATAGTAGTTGTCTGGATTATCAGTGATATGGAAACGTCGAAGAGCAGTGTCCTAAAATAACTATTTACCATTTCCTTCTATTAACAAAAGCTTTCAGCAATTTCGAAAATAACATCGGAGGATTAATGATTAAAGACACACTCAATTAAAATAGGTGTTAGTCATTGCACCAGAAAATGATACTAGTTGTGGTGCTCGCCCACCGTTAATAGAAGAAAGGGAGCCATTGCAAGATACGGGGCATAGTGGTGGCAACGCATTTGGAACCGCGAAAAAACATCCCCTTCTTGTTCGGAAGAGAACTAACAATAAAACTCGGGGGTGGAGGGAGTCCAGAGCGCACGAGCAATTTTCAATTTTCCCAAAGTTCTTCCCCTCCTAGTTCTACTTAATCCTGTAGGATCCTGAATCTTGAGATTGCACCGAAGAAAGCAAAAAAAATATGTCACCAAACCTGGAGGTCACATTTCGTGCTAATCTTATGGGCCGGATTTGCGCCGTTGCCCTGTGGGAATCTCAATGGTGAAAGCTCTCCCTCAACGTCGTACCTTCAACAAGTCTCACCTTATCAAAAAGACTACAAAAGACTTCTGTACAGCCGAGGTGCAAAGTACGCTCACATGATTAGCGCGCTGTGGGATTTCAAAGGCTTCTGGCTGTTAAATTTGATATTATTGTTTGTTCACTGCTGCTTTGATGCGAAAAAAAAACCGAGAGGTGAGGGCACTCACTGTCCCCCGGCGAAAAGTTTTGCATATATACCTAGAGCATGTTTGTAAAGCTTTTAGCTGTTATAGCGCTTTCGTTTTGCTGGTGGACCCATTACCACAAATACGGTCCTTTTTGATTGCGGCTTCTGGGCTCGGGGACCCTTCTTCCTCGCTCTACGAGTGACTACCTTCTAGCACCTAATCCCGACTCATGACTTTAACAAACAACCCTAGCAGTCCCCCTGCTAAGGGGATTTATGGGCAGAACCAATAAATGAATAAGTGGAAGGCAAGCATCAATCTGAAAAGCGACATACGCGAATCTGTTGAACAGTGGCAGTCTTGGGGACGCTGGCCGTTCTGCAGACTTGAGCACGAAGCGACGAATTGCCATCAAAAACTCGTAATATTTCCGAGTCTTCTCGTTCTTTCAGTTCTTCACCCGACGATGACACGTCATCTGCTTGAATTTTTGATGGCGAAGACACTGAAATGGTTACTTAAAGTATGTTTGGAGCTTTCGATGTAATTGCAGACAAACAGCCATTCATTACAATGGGAACTACTTTGAAGAAGCCAGCTTCAATGTTAGAAGAGTGACAGAATAGTGGTACCCGACAAGTGCCCGTCGAGCGGCAAGAAGGCAGAGACACAGACGGGTCAGCGGACGAGCCGCAACGCGTACTGTGGCGAATTAGCATCAAGGTTAATAGAAAGTATTATATTACGTCCCATACTGTACAATGCGTGCTGCGACTCGTCCTCTGAGCCGTCTGCATTCCCGCCTTCTTGCCCCGCAAAGAGCTCCCTGTCGGGTACCTAAGGAATAGAGATAGCCTAGAATTTGGAGAACGATACTGTGATGAAGAAGAGAGAAAGTATGTAGTCTGAACATAGGAGAACATAAAAGAGATCAACATTAACATATCCATGCCTTCAAGCAAGGAGTCAACATAAAAGAAATTAGGGGAAGCAACGGGAAACTATCAAGAATTGCCTTATGACTACAAAAAGAAATTTTATTGAGTGAGACGCTAGTATCAGGCCGCCCAACAACTAATGTGTTTTTCTCTCCATAGATATTTTTGCTCCATCACAATATATACCTTTTGAAAGAGAATTGTCTGCTCTGTATTATTTTGCACTCCTTTTTCACAATAATTGAGCAGGGTACTTTTACGACGTGACTGTTAGGGGGGGGGGGTTCCGGTCGGCAAAGACTACGCAACCGGCTCCCACTCAAACTATTTTAATTAGCACATCGGCGACAGTTGTTGTGCGAGTTCCTCGGCATTTTTTTTTGATATTCCTTAAAACCAGCACTACTCTTACATTAATTTCCTTTGGTAATGGATTGGTATTTTTGGATCCACTGATGTAGACGGACATACTCTTACACATCAAGTAAGAAGTAAATCGTGCAAAACCATGCCATTCGCGCGGAAGTCTGACGCGTGGCGTATGCGCGTCATGCTATCGTCAATATGTTAAAATTAACCATTCGAAGGGTAATAAATTCGAAATTTACTCCTTTCACAAACTTTCCAAACATTCCACTACTGGGGTTGTTCTAGGACGATGGCCGTCCTTTTTCAATTTCGATTTCCAACACATCTTGTTTAAAATGTTTTTTATATATAATATGGACAGATATATATATTACATCTTCCTGAACAATACCCAAAATTTGAGTGACTTCACATTTGAATAAAATCGATGACAAATTCGATAAGAGCATTCAAATGATATTTGATATTGTGAGAAAAAATGAGGTTCTAGAAAAATTTCAGTTTGAATTTTGCCATGGTCTTTTAGCAGTTAGTCCGAAAAACCAAATTCCTAACGGAAAACGGTACTAATTTTTGTCGTCAAAAGCTCCCACTTTGCTACTCTGGAATTCGGCCTGTCCACTATGAATGAGGAAACACCACTGAACGTTTTGTAGAGCAGACATCTTTCTGGAAAAGTGCATAATGTGTTGTAAACGTGAGAACTTAGAGGAAGTGTTCCTATCCGAAGAAAAACGACATTACTTATTGGACAATCCAATAGAACCCCACCTACACTTTCTGGTACTTAATTTTGTTGGCAGTAAAGATTAGCACTTCTTCAGTACACTTTTAACTTTTCCTTCGCTTACTATATGTTGATGGGCAATTCAAATGCAAACGCCAATGACGTATTCACTTTCAATCAATGGTAAGAAACCCTTCCGGAAAAGAAGTCAAAGGCATAAAAATGAGTGCGACTTGATTCTGAATTCAATTGCTCAAAAGGGGACGCTGTTCAACTTGGGAACCACTATTTTCAAGGAACTAATCACTTCCCACCTCGCTTAGAAGCGATATGAGATTAAACCTGCTGTACGGTTCATAAGAGAATACCTAAACTTTTGCAAAGAGATACTCACATAGAACATTCGCACCTGCCCTAAGAAGTAGAAAAAGTAAAGCAAATAAGTAAGCGAAATTCTTGTAGAAAATGATATCGCCCTTTGACGAGCATATGCCTTGACAATTCTTGACATTTTCGAGTCCTCTATTGCACACCGCATACAGACGTGGAGGCATTAACGACAGGGCCCAGTCGAATTAACGTTCACAAAATTTTAAAACGACCTGAGAATAAAGGGTTTGTCTGCAAGAGCGGATCAATTCAATCTGGAACCTTATCTGCTGTCGGAAATTGAAACTCAAGTCATTGTAAATTGATCGTCACAATCCGTCACCAATAAAAATGGAAAGTTGTTCGTCACAGCAGCGCGGTCCCAGCATGCGGCGAACAAAAAGGGAAGCGGTTGAAGCGATCTTTGCAAAACCATGTCGTCCTTGTTGCGCGCTTTAAGTCGGGAACGAGACGCCTGTGACCGTCACAAACAATTCTATCCTTCTTACTGTAACAATTCGTCACCACACCTGAACTCATTTTAGGTTGTACGCTATTGGTTGTGTAACCAAGTACACATGATCGTATCGCTCATTTTTTGAGTGATGGACGACTAAAAAATAAAGAAACATGTACATATGTAATACATGGCTCCCACATGCCCATTGATAATTAAGGGCAAGGTTCGGGTTTTTGCTCGAAATTAAGCTTTTCCCAAGAAAATGCAGTGGTGCGCAAGCAGAGAGCACGCACACAACTTTCGACACGATTTGACAAGGGCGAAGAGCTAAAGCCCCAGATGCAGCATTAGTCCCGCCCAACATCACTGACCCCACCCACAAATAAATGCTGCTACGCTTCACCGCTACTAAAGGCTACGACTTTATTTCGCTCTTGTCGGCATTTTCTTCAAGTTTTTTTTCCATGGCAAAAATTACACACCACATCATGACTGTCACCTGCAAATGTGATAATGTAATACAACAGTTCGATCCCGGACTTCGCTTTTAAATCAGAGCTGGGCTGCCTGCTGAGAAAATCTAACTGTACTTCATGACATTCAGAATGTTCGCTCTTATTGAGACATTCTCTAACCTACGTGTAAAGCTTCTCTTTACCTTAATCAATGAGTGATTCTCCCCCTTTTACAGCAGAATATGGAAGAAATTTCCAACTTCAGAGAACATCGTTCGGGAATTTGGGGTAGATTATTGAGCCATTTTATCTAGCATCCAGATTTGTTCATATTCCCAACTACCACAAGCACCCCGCCTGGTGATATGAAACTTCTCGAAAATGCCTCCACGTTCAGCAGCAAACACTTACAATAGTGAAAGAGACTGGTTAAAATCGTGAGTAGATGTTCACAGTCGAAGACAAGTCGAATAGATCCTTGTATAGGAAAGGAAAGGATAGTGCGATAGTCTGACCCTTACGCGACTGTGGGGGATCGTTAGCAGTGATCGCCAGTAGTTGCTCCATCGGAAGTTCCGTCCGCGGTATCGTCAACGACGACGGAGGTAGCATAATCTTCCGTAACACCCCGAAATCGCATTCCTTCGACATTTGACGATAGCAAACAGCATGAGCCTAGAAAATGGCTGTCATAATATTCTGCGCAGAAAAAAATAACCTCGAAAAACGGTTCAATTTCACGAAATCAAACGTGAAGTCCCTACCGTCTGTCCGCACCACTCGCATCGCATGCCAGCAAGGCATTCTGCCGACCAGCAGCTTTTCTTGCATACCACACATTTACTGTCCTTTGGTAGATTTCCTTCTCGCATGTGATGAAATTGTTCATGTGTCGTCTAAATGATGTACATAACAGGATTTTCTATCTTACAATGCTGGTCGAAAAGGTAAGGGCCATAATGGCTTACGATAGACGTGCATTATCTTTTCCAACCCGAAAAATTCGCTTTGAATATTGAACAGTTACGCCTTTTACTTTTCTAACGTTGAATCTTGAAGGCAGTGATCACGACCGCTTAAGGGCGTTGCGGTTTTGATGACGTCATTGAGCGCCATTGGGGGAAGGATTTTCAGGAGGCGGTACTAAGCACAGCTCCGGAGCGATGAGCGGTCTAGTCAACTAGTGATGCTTAATGACGTCGCCAGAACCGCACCTCCCTCCACCGAACTTGATCATTGCTTTTAAAGATTCAGAAAAGAAAAAAAACTCCCACCTACTACTTGAGCCTTTTCCGAGAGAAAAAAAAACATGGAGCATGAAAAACCTTTCGGTGAACAAATTTGATTTCTACTGTAATATCTAGTCTAACGCCCATGCGATCAGGTGACTGAATGTATTACGCGTCGGCCCATTTAACTGTTCGTTAAGTTTCGGACGTTTAGGAAAACAGACTCCTGATGCCACAAGTTCAATAAGATCCTGATCCTCACGTAGACGTCCAACAAGTAAAACTCACCAAATCCAAATTTGGCACATAAGTAGCAGCCTCTTTGCAGTCGGATACAGCCAAATCAGAGCAATCCACATGAACGTAGTACTCGCAAACTGAAAGGTGGTTTTGGATGAAAAATGGCTATGAAGTTTTTTGATAGACTGGAATGCGCTCTTCAACATTCATTTAGGCTCATTCGGTTTGGATTTGGCGAAGTGTGATTGATTCCTTTGTATATGTGGAGATGATTGTCTTTTTTGGTCTGCCCTTGTACTAGTGGTAATCACCAAATCGCTAGCTGCTAAGAATTTAAGGCCGATGTCAGAGTTTGCGAATCCAGCGATTCGCTACAAGCGACTCGCCAGCGTCCGCGGCAGCGTCGCGTAAAGCGAATGACTCGATTCACAGTGCTCTACGCGACCGCGTACGCTAGCGAATCGCTCGTTTTGCAAAGTCAAACATCCGCCTAAACGACACGCTCATTCACAAAAGCGATGCAATAACAATTAAAGGCCATGATCACGATGGCCAGAAGGTGGTGCGCTTTTCATGACGTCATTGAACGTTAAAATGTAGAACTCTGGGGGCGTTGGGGTGTGAACGGAATCCGCGTAACGCTGTCCTACCAATGACGTTCAAGGAAATCATAGAAACAGCAACGCTCTCCATCATCGTGATCACTGCCTATGATTGACGAGAGCTATTTCAAGGTTCCAATTAACCATCTTGAAGACACGGGTCGGGATCGAATTGGAGTGCTATTTTGTTGGATTAAATAAAGTATGATGAGGAATGTGGTATGACGGAGAGACAGCGCTGCTAGGATAAGGAAAAGGCGAGAGAGCACGTCGTACGCGAGAGGGCGCAAACGCCACTTATGCCGCAACTGATGAGGATGGGAGCGCCGGCAACGGAGGAGGTACGGCATCAGGGGCCTTGTCGTTCAGTTTTGAGTCGGGAAAGTGTCGGACTCCTGTGCTTAGAGACCCCTCTTTCTCACTCAAAGGGGAATTGGCTCTCGGTACTTAATCTCGACCCGTGGCTTTAAATCTTTCTAATCGTTATAAATAATTTAAGGTAATAGTTCAAGATACACAACCGGGACATAAATTGATTCCAGACCCGTTCAAATAAAGACTCTTTGATAACATATATGTATGCATGAGAAGTAAATTTCAACAGACAGTACCTTCACATTCCAGTGACAATGCCTCATCCGTCCGCTTACGACACACGCAGCAGAACTTCCGCTTGATCAAGCCTGGCTGGGACCATGTGTGCGCAACCGGATTCTGCAATCAGAGATAAATAATATGCATGCTCAAGCTCAGTCTAAATAATGCTCCAAATAAAACTCGAATGCGTAATTGTACTGTAGTCAGCACATTCGACGGCATTTCTATTCAACTTCAACGAGGTTACCGTGGTGCATGGTCGATTTCAGATATAGGATCCCTCACAAAGGTGAAATACGGTCGAGAAAATCCTCGACCATGGCTCTGTGCTGTACGAGAGTAGTGCCGAAAGAGAACGTTTGCGCGGAGAGCACAGACAGCTCGCGCACGGCGAGTGTGAATGTCCGCGCGGGAAAACGTAACTGATCAGGCGAAAATCCTCGACGTGCCGTTGAGGAATCCTCGACCGATATTTACCCTGCTCCTCACCCGCATCCCCACTCCCCAATAGCGATGACAGATGGATGTTTGTTAATGATTGGTGGTGCGATCGTATCGTTGAGCCTGGCTTGACTGTACCAAAATTCTTTCACTTTCTCAACTTCAATGAAAATTCCCTATTTTAATGTTCTATCAAGATACTTGCCATCCTATAACACTCATCACGATTTATGAAGTTCATACAACGAACGCTAACCCACGTCTGAAACTCTAATCCCGTCGTCGACTAAATGGTCAACTGACCCAAGTCACGTTCTTACGTCTAATGTATTACGATCAATTGCTCTAACGAAATTTTGCACTATTATAGAGTAAATGCTCAGTAACCTTGCAATGCAATGTGTTCGGAAGAATGTTCAGGGAACTGTTGGCTAACGCCCTTATTTTAGCTATCAGCTATCAATGGGTATGAGTTAAAACTCGGGAAACTAAACTGCGCCATTTTCTGTTGAAGAATTAAATACTTAGTATTTATCATTTGCTCCTACACGCGGCAGATGCCACACAACAAGAAAGATAAGTTGAAGCAATAACCTCACATGAGGTAGTGTCGAAGAAACTGCTCTGTGGGTGGGATACAGTAGCCCACGAGGGTCACAAATGTGCCGTTGCCACGGTCCGAATGTGTGCGACAACATCGCTAGGGCCTTACAAATTTATCGGTGGCCAATGTGAACCTACGGACGAGATATCTCGCGCTCGCCTAGCCTCATCGCGTTAGCGCGGTTGCATTCTCTGAATTCTCTTGAACTTGTCTTGACACGTCCTTTCCATGTCATCATAATCAGCTGCTGTTACCTCCTCCGCCCCCCCCCCTTTGAACTGGTATCGTTGCTTTCACAATAGAAATCAAGTCAAAATTAATGTCTGCAATAGCTTTCAGCCTCGTGGTTCACTGTTGATGTCGGCTAATCAGCTCATCATCTCCGATAATCTATGGTAAATATACCATCGAAACGTGAGATAAAGGGAAATGGTGCTCAATAGCACATTTGTCCAGGAGACAAGAGATGCGGGTTCTTCCGCCCGAAATGAAGAGTTGCCTATAACCCAGCCTTTTTGCGATAAATCACCCCATTTCCTGAATCCAAATTCAGAAGTCAAATTTTTTCATGCCTTTGAAACAGGGTCATATGGTAGATGAGCTATTCGATCCACCTTATACTGTCCTCAAGAGCTCTGCACAAAAGGGTTTTTCTCCATCTCACGGTTGAGACAATAAATTTCACCGCCTTTTTTCGAGCTCCGCTATTACGAGTCGCGTTATTTCCCCTATATATCGCTGACACTTGAGATAATGGCACCTGTATTTATGGGACGGGAATATGCTTAGCATGCCCATAGGATGCGCCACGCCTCTCATTCCTCTCAAAACTGCGGAGGAGTTTGCATGCGAGTCTAGCCTATAAGGAAATCAAGGGATAGCTGAAGGTCTTATGAATATTTTCTCCTCACAAGGATAATGCTGCAAATAATACGCCACAGACGGGTGTAGGGGTTAGCAAATTTGAACGAGAATCGACCCATGGACCGTTCATAAGCAGCGGCGCCTCTTGCCGCTGCTCTATGTGCTGCAATCATTTGAAACTTGCGATAGTGGAATCGTTCAGGTTATATAGGTTCCCGATAAAATCGGCTAGCTACATGCGCCAAGTAATGCTTTTACACGATGCCAGCATGACATGACGTACTGCTGTGTCTTTCTCCCCGTTTCCTATACGCTATTGCCGGAGATTTAACGCGTCATTAAACACGATTACATATTGAAAGAATGACAATGGTTCTTCCAACAGGAAGTTAATCAGAAGCCTTCGAGACGGATTTACGTAGTGGATTCAGTAGAACGGCACACTTCGTTAAACAGGCCATTACTCAGTGTGCCCTATATTAATGGATACAAGGCTTCATGACAGCATTACTAAAAAGATTTATTATCTAATAGTTCCAGAAACTAACCTTAATTAGTTGCAGAGCCACTCCACTGCAGTAGGAGACAACGGTTTTCAAACATTTCTCATGACACACAAAATTGCACACTGAAACAATCGACATTTTTACTGAGAAGGAATGACCACAGCTTTAGCAACCGGCACAGCAACTAGGGGCCATTAGTTTTCTTAGTATTCACACCAATAAGGCCGCATAGGGCAAAATCAGCAGTAAAATGTTCCAGGGAATTTCAGCGATGAGAGAGTTTTAATAGCATTTCGCGGAATCCACTCCAGTAGAAATTTTTTAGCGTTTCTCTACGACTGACATGTTCCCGTGAAGGACATTTCGGCATTGGTAAGATAATTGTAAGGAAGGAAAAGGAATGAGAAGTAGAATGAGGGCATTAGGGAACTTTCCGCGACGTATAACCGAGCGCGACTTCGCGTCGCTCTCATACTTTGTCGCAGCGACACAATTTCGCCATAAGACCTATGTCGCCGCGACGCGGCCGCGCGCTTCTCTCATTACTACATGCCTACACTCCGTTTCATGCAGCCAGAAATCCACGTGGCACACGTGGCTAAATTCTCGATGAAAAGTTGACGTCACGTGTGCTCAAAGATGTTCTTGATTTGATGCCACGTCAATTTCTGCAATTGCACATTTTCTGGTTATTTGAAGGCGAGGGTAGCTGCGTCACGAAGTGCACGTTGCGGTGATTCGCGCATTTCACAGTTAGTTAGGTAGCCCAACCACGGTAATTTTACCAATGCACATACATATACTTTCTCTCATGTGGAATTCCATAAATGTTAGAAAAGGCGTAACCATTGTAGGACTGAAAAGGAAAAGAGGAGAGAAACGGACAAAGGTGAATCCAAATTTTACCCGCGCCTCAATTTGTTCGGGACTCACTAGAACAAGTTAATGACCGCCATCAACGACGATGAGTTTACGGCGTTAGGCGCATTAAGTTACACGACTGCATTCTGAAGTTTCGTCTTTTGAACTTTTCGCAAACCCGTGCTCTAGTATAACACAACTTAAATTTCGGTTACATGTAAATGGTAGCCAGGCGACGCGATTTTTAGCCTCAATAAATCCTTAACCAGATCTGCGAAATTGCAAAGAGTCAAATTCGCTTTTTGTAGATATCCTCTTCTGCTAGCATATTTTGTCGAGAAATAGCAGCGCTCTGCGACTCGGCGGAGTCTGTTCCTTCCGAGGCAGTAAGGGTAGCCTCTAACCTTGTCCTACTGCGACAGATTGGATGCATTTCTACCAGAGGTTGCGATTTCATTCAACTCAATTCAACGGCCACATTGAATTCGGCGCATAGCTGTACCCCAAATCTCATTAGGGAAGGCTCTCGTGATCCCAAACAGCCTTGGATAGAGACCTAGCTGAAGCGATATGGCCATGAATATTAGTCAAAAACAAACAGCTATGCGCTGAATTCATTGTGGCCGTTGAAATATGGGAGCGGACTGCTATGTGAACTTTCTAGCGCTGTGGACGATCAAAGTTGACATAAAATCGGCAAAAGACATGTTTTGGAGCTGAATTGGCACTAGATCGACACTGTGTCGAGAAATAATGTCACATTCGTGATCAGGCTACCTGTTTAACCATACAGGCAAAGTTCAGAGACAGCTAAACATAGTGATATTGAGACCAGCTCGCCTTATATGTTCACTATGCAATTCCTGAAAACTTTGAGCGCTCACAACATGCTCGGGTAGTTCCTGTAGAAGATTTGGTTCACAAATTTTAACGACAATTCCTGACGGTATCTATTTACCCAGGTATACACTCAAAGTTCCATAGAAAATTGAAAGAATTTTCGGGTCTCATCCAAAGGGGGAGGGGGGGGCATGTGATGTAACAGTTCCTGCCGGCTACAGAAGTTCCAATTTTTCGCGAGGGGAGGGAATTCCCTGGGAGCGTGAACCATGTCCCTTAAGCTTTACACCTGCCCAAGAGCTCCCTTTTCCCGAAAAAAAAGTGGATTACTTCATGCAATATGAACTGCCGCAATACATGCCCCCTCCCCTTTTTTGGATGAGACCCGAATTTTCGGACCAAAAATTTTCCAGAGAGCTCAAGCACAATTCACTCACTGGCTAACTACTCAAAGGGAACCAAACAAGAAAAATCACCTTCACATGCGTATCCTTGCGTGAGCATACCCCATATTTTATCGCAACAATGATGGCAGTATGTGGGTTTGCCAAATGTTTTCTTAGCGAAGTAATGGCCGTGATCACGACCTATTCCGAGTAGGTTCGCGTCGACATTGTGGCCTTCCGCCGTCATCGAGCCGTCTTTCTGAAATAATGAGAATGTTTATATCGCTTATAATAACATCTGGTTCCGAAATGTGAGCCGTTTTTCATACAATGACAGATGTTGCGCCGCTTTCAATGACCGAGCTCAAAGGCACCGATTACGATAGGTCTGGAAGGTTTCCAGAAGGCAGAGTCAATCGTGCATTGCGCAGTTCCCAACGGCCACGTTGTGCAGTTTCGCCCGATTAGACACGATCTCTCGCGCGAACATTCACACTCGCATGCTTGAGCCGTCTGTGCTCTTCGCTCATACAGCGTGCGTTGAGGATCTCTCAACGTGCCGTTGAAAACTGCGCAACGCACGGTTGACTCTGCGTGGGGGTGCCCAGTGGCACGCCATTAACGAAAAAAAACAGAGAAATTCGTAAAGAAAACGCAAGACGGGATCCCCTTCACCTTATTTGGCTGCCGATTTTCGCTCAGGAACGGGCAGCGGCTAAGGCGGCGGACGTATGGACGAATTTTCCGTAACACTAATCTATGCTCCGGTCGAGTTGCTCCAGTTAAGACGCTGCTGACAACACAGCTCGTCCAAATACCCAACTGAACCAGTGGGCGGAGCGTTCGGAGGGTGTGGAAATTCCCAAGTACTGCTCAATGCGCCACATATCGCTCCCTTGACAGCCAAGCTACTGCTTCGTGTGGCGCACACATTCACCGATGCGCTACCTCTTTATCGCAACCGCTTCCTTTGATTTTTTTCAAAGTAGTTAAGGGAAGGGCCGCGAACACTCGAACAGGCCATGAAAGCATTCGCTAGCACAAGCAAGGGGAGTCTTTCAGGGTGTGAAGCGCTTTCTCAAAACGGCTTTTTGCATGCTTTAGGGCCCCTCAATGAGCTGCAGAAGATCCTTTTCTGCCAAACGGGCCCTGAAGGTCAAAAAAGGATCGCAAAACAAATATGCCTGGAGTGTATGGTTTTTACCGGATTTCGTTAAGAACCTGATTGTAAAGATGGCGCTGGAGCTATTTGAAGAATTGGGAGCTCCAAGCTGATATGCAAAAATTTTGCCATCATTGGGAATTGAACCTTGGACCATTTCCTTACAAATTTTGACCAGCACGGCGTCACTCTGCGAAAGCGGACCTAGATCTTATAGTCCACTCATAAGTTGCCACAACATGGAAAAAACCATTCTGAAAAAAACGCCCCAAAAACCTGAAAGAGCTTCCTTGTAAAGTCAGGCGAATGGATGCGGTGCAGGTGGACTAGCAAGCTCCTCCTCTCCACAAAATTATACCACCGATTTTCAGTGAAGGTGCTTAATGATCAAATGTTCCCACACCCCTCCCCCCAATTTTCAACACTCGTAGGCCACGTTACCCTCCCACCAAATACCGCAATATTCATGACTTTTCCAGAGCCTCTAAAATTCTCGACTCTTCTCGGAGAAAAATATAAATAACCCTCCTTGTTGTGACTCCCACACCAATCGCAGAGCCTGCACGATATTCGAGAAGCTAAAAATGCTCATGAGACCGCGATTCAGGTTCATGCTTTCAGTGAGACGGTTTGCAAACAACACAAAACAATAAAAATTTTGGACTTAATAATTTTCAATATTTGTGCTGTTAATCAGCTAGAGCATATGGTTGACTTTCAGCCAACCTGAGTTTGAACTACTACACAACAATATGAGAAGTGTTTTACGATTAGCGAGGTAAAATCACGATGAACAGGAGTCAACTTTGAGGATCCCTCCATGCGCGAGTGGGGAGGGAAGGAGCGAGTTTTGTGCCTCTCCCTTTCTGCTGCTCGACAAAACTCGCTCCTTCCCTACCCACTCGTACAGAGGAAGTACCGTCAAGGAGGACGAGGGTAGGAGAGGTAGGTAAATTCTATGGAACTTGTTGTCAAGTTTTTTTTTCGTTTATTTTTTTAGCTGTTTAGGACTTCAGCTGGAGCATCGGGTGGGTGGGTGGAAGAGGAGGCATATTGGCTGCCTTCCTCAACACGTGGCTCTCTTTGTGATAGAATGGTTAAAACATACCTTTCTCTCCTAAGACGGAAGAACTTCTTAAGCTGGCATCACCGACCTATTTCCATCTGAAACGAAAATGTTATGGATTAAATAAGGGACGAGAAACATTCAGACATCGAACACTTAAACTGAGGCGAAAAGGGACCACTTAAGCAAAAGAATAGCACATCAGTAAGGAAGAATTAATTTAAATTAAAATATGCGCGCATTCATCTTCAAGCTGTGTTGAAGAGTGCAATAATTAACTTCAAAAGAAACAGAAGTGGTGCAATATTACAGTAATCCAAAGTCAGAATATGAACATAAATTGATATGCGTGAAACGGTGAGGAAAGAGCCTTAATTACAAAGAGAATGGTTCGAAACAGTAGTGGCCGATTTAGAGCCTACGTCGCACCGCACATACAACTAATAAGCGCGGTGTAGAACGTCACCATATGTAATAGGCTCGTTGCGCTGAGCCGGGGATTAAGAATTGTTTGGGGAAGACAAACTATAAATTTTCCCTTTCTGAGTGTTTCTTAGGGGTGTTGGGATCTCATCGGGGGGGGGGGGTGCATTGCTTTGCACAGTCCTTTAATACCAACTTGACCCAAGGAGTCCGTCAAAGTGACGAATGATAGCAGCGTTACACTATCTTTGTTGAATTTTGTGTATTGTACGTAACTTGCAATGGATGATACAAGCGTCTAGAGAAAGTTCAGGGTCTCATCCAGTTATGTGTGGTGGAGTGTAGTGGGGGGATGTGGCGCGACAGGTGCTGCCACCTCCAGAAATTCTATTTTTTGCAAGGTGAGGAAATCCAGGGCGTACGTAAACCATCCTGCTCCAGTTGCACTCGTTCTCGGCGAAAAATTGGATGACATTGGGCGATATGAACTGTCGCACAACATGCTCCTCCCTACTGGTTGAGACCTTTGAAAGGGTAGTTACGGGTAGTTCGAGGGTGAGAGGGTAAGAAACTCTACGAGAAATGGAACTGATCGCGCATCACGGATCTCCTCCCCCCCCTTCTAATATTTTGACCAAAACGTATAATTTGATAGGAAACGCTCGCTATGGCTGAAGCGTTGGACGCCTTGAACCGCAATACCCCTACCCCCTTGCTGAATAAACACGTTTTGTTTTATTATTGTTTTTATTACTTATTGTTTTTTATTTACTGCTACAAAATGCATGGTTCATCCGTGGGTAACAACTAATATCTTTCACGATAGCAGGAACCTATGATGTTAGAGAAAGCACGCTATAATCAGTGAAATATCAGCAAGAGCGACCGAGAGGCAAAGTCGTACTGAAGTCAATTTCAGTTTTTTTACATAGCCAGGAAAGTTTTCCTATCTTGCCTCAAACGATATTATCTCTAGGGTCACTGGATAGATACTGCTATACCAGTTTTGCAGAACGAAAAGTCAATAAAATTTCAGAACGCTTCAAAGTTCTTTGCATTCTATGAAAAATGATCACAAGACCTCTTTAATTCTAGTTAAGTAAAATATTCTAGCTTCCATCAAGGAGCATGACGAAAATACAGTCTGCGCAACAGTCTAGGACGTCTAGCTAGGGTCAACAATAAGGTTGCAACAAATTTGGGGTCGAGAAGGAAGCACGATTCTGCTTCCATCCCTCCCCTTCTAGCTCTACTCCTTCTACCACCTTCAGACCACCGTCAAGCTACAGTGACTCCGCCTAGCGGGTTTAGGTGAGCGTGTTCAGCTCCAGCAACGGCTAAAACGGCAAACATTTCCAAAATTTCAATGAATTTCGTAAGGAAATAAGCCCTTTATCCTAAAATATCACTTTCCATGTTTAACAAAAAGAAAATGCCCATCACACTTAATACGATCCCCCTTGCCAGAAAATCACAACTACGATCTCCCATATCTGAACTTGTCCTACCCAGTTTCGACCCTGCAATCAACCCCTGTACTTTATCTGAAGATGTCATCTCATTTGGATTTCTACCATAGATATAGGACCCGTGGAAAGAGTTCTGTCTAGGCCTAGCGATTTTTTCATCTTCTGGAGTCATTTAAGTAAGCTGCCTACTTGCTGCCCACAATAGAAACATTCGGTTCAACATAATCTGTTCCCAAAACTGTGGGGCAGATAAATATACGCCCTCGAATACTTTCATAAATACCAATGGAAAAGATGTGCGTGGCACATCCCCCATAATGGGAACCTGCGAATTGTGACGGTTTTTCGCAGTAAAAGTTGAAGTTTATAAAAGTTGACAAATTCTGACGCTATACACGCCTAGAGAAGTGAGCTTAGAAATGGGTTCTAAAGTTACTGAATGGTTCGAAAGATCGCAAAACACCGCGACGCCATGGTTGTCTTGACCGATAGTGCTGGTCTACAAAAGGGACATAAGCAGCTTCGAATACCAATAGCGCCGCGCAGAACTTCGGAACGAAAATAGACATGGATGACGACGCTATCGCAATGCACGGGGGCATAATTTAAAACCAAGCTCAGGAGAGGCAGGAACTTCAGGGGAATGAAAATTACTCACGCATCCTGGAGTCTCTCCTCCCCCGCGTGAGGGATGGTCTCGTTTTCGAAGAAAAGAAGATGTTTTACGTGATTTCAAATGCACTGACACCCCGCATCTTGCGATAGCATCTGGATAACTAGCAACTCTTCGTGCTGCATTAAAAAAACGACTCTATAGTTGATCTAAGTGACATTAGAAACTGTGCCATAAGGGGATATGATGTGAAGATCAGCGCGTGAATTTAGTGAAAATTAGGAAACATAGAAGGAAGAGCAAGGTGATCCAAATAGGGCCAAGATCGCACCGATCACGTAAGCAGCGTTATGCATACCACAGCAATAACCACGTGCGAGGCTGAACTGTGCTCCGAATGGCCATAGCCCAAGCCAAGGTGAAGTTTTGGGGTATGTAATATTTTCAAGCAATAAATTGACTAGAGTGACCTAGCCTTGAGTATTCCCGATAAGGGATGCATTGGCTCTCTCGAGGAGAAGGGAGTTGATGCTTGCAGGAATCGGCTGCACATTTTCGGAGGTAGAATGAAGGACTGAGTTGAGGTGTGAAATTTCTTGAGGAACATGCTGTTTTTGGACCCTTTCCCCACCCTTAGACGCGGGTCGTGATGAGGGGAACGTGTGCCAGCTTCCAGGTTACACAACCACTGGTTACGCAATCACTTGGATGCCAAGGCTTCCTACAGGATGATATGTCTTCGTGCGGGTTGTAAGGAAGCTATTATCTCGCCGCAACAAAATAAACTACTTCCATATCGCGAGAAAAAAATGGATTTTAACGAACAACAAGCTAAAATAAACAATCGAATTTCTAATAGAATGAAGGCAAAAGTCACGATGAAACAAAACGGGAGACTGCGCCCTATTTGAATTGGCTGAACTATGTATAAATTTGGAACGCGTCGGCCCCTGCCGAAATAATTCAAAAATGAGAAATAATAGCTCGAGGTGCTAATTTTACCTCATAGATTTCGCTTCATTCATGAGCCTGACCGATGGCCACCAAACCGCTGCTCATAGCTGACAGATGATAACAGGTGATATGAGGTGATAACACATGATACAAAACACTTCAGAAATTCTTGTTACGAAATTAACGCTAAGAAGTTTCAACAGATGACCGCGGTGTATTTATTCGATATTAAACTGCGAGCATTCAAACAAAGTGTTTGAATGATGCAGCGTAACTCGTCCATATTGATTTCACCGCTGCTTTCAGGCTTTTTCCGTTTCACATTGCCACGATGACTACAACGACTTTTATCCCGTACAATAAATATCGGTCACTACAATTATCACGACTCTATTCCTTCAAGAGCCGATGTCGAATTACACAGAGGTCGCCTGGAATCGTTTCAAGCTATGCTTTGTAGCGTGAGCTCAGTTTAGTTGGGTTCTCTGGCCTGTCGCCAACCTCAGCATACACCCTTGCAAGGCAGAACTCATTGGAGATTCAGGAAGGCAACCGTTACTAGCGATGAAGACCTAAGGGTGGCTTTTGGAAATAATTAATCCCTTTTTGGAGCGCGCCACACAATCGACTTCTACTCAGAATCGCAGTGACGAATTTGAAAGCGAGATTGCCAATGCAATGGCTTGCGGTGGCCAGTCCATGTACAAGTATAGGTGGCTTTGTCCTTCTACACAAACCTGATAAAAATTACTCACCCCCAAGGAAGAAGGCTTGGTTGATCTGTGCGTCGTACGATCAAGGATTCGATCGCCGAACAGCGAACGTGGTACGCAGCGCCACTTGCTACTAAACCACCTCCACCAAAGATTCACTTAACTTTTTTCAGAAATGAACGCTAATAGTGGAATAGATTCTAGAGGAATGAGAAGGTACTAACTCAACATTTCCAATGGACTTGAAAAACAGAACAGTGGGCAATTCACAAACGTGTACGGTTCCTGCTCCTTCCTTCGGCTGGCTACGTGACAAGCCCAAGTAGAAGCTAAGATCTTGACAACCGACGACCATCAAGTGATTTCATATACCGCCCACTGTTAAAAGAAGAAGCTTGAAAATGAATGGTAACGAAAGCTATGCAATTGTTAAGATGATATTACCTTAGGTGTGTATATGCAATGGAAATATCAAGGTACAAGAACAACGCTAAGAACTGTCAAGAAATTTTCCCGGTAAAGGACAAATTCAATTTCCCGTCACTATTTGTTCCCTACTATCCACTTTTTTAAAGATCGAGCTGCAAGGAACATTTTAATGACATCAGTATTCTAAGGTACAAATGACCCCAGATGGAAAATTACAGCCATATTCACCCCTCCAGGCTGTTTATCTTCGAAAATAATCCGGCTCAATTTTTGGAAAGTGGACCAAAAAAGATTAATCGAGTCGAAATTTGAGCTGGATCTAAATTTTTTTGATGAACGAGCTTAAGGTGCCAGGAGGTCACAAACGCTCCTATGCGGGCGCGAATTCGTGAACAGGCACCGATTCGGATCGTGCGGAGGTGACGGTCGCTGAGCTGGCGCCGTCGACGCCGCCAGCAGCCATCGCGACGTCACTGGGGTGCATACGTCGGGACCGGCCGCTCGGTCAGCAGCCGCCAACCCGGCTCCGCTCCGAAATTAGAAGATATTCATGCTGAATCGAAAAGAAATCACACACACACTCATGCACTCAGTAAAAGTGGCAAACATTGTGCACGACTGGACCATTGAAATCTCTTGCACGAATTGCACGAATTAATGATCACAAAAATATCTCGAGAGCAACGGGAATTGGTGAGAGCACGAGGACCACTTCTATATGGGCTTAGATAGATAATGCTCGAAGAAAGTGAGAACGAAAATTGATTAGCTCTGCTGGTAGACTTGATACGTGGGAATAATGGTGACCACCATAGAGGAAGCAAACAGAGCTCCACAGCTGCTTCAAGATAACTTATTATAGCAGGGTTAGATCAATATGAACAAATGGGGCCAAAAACGTTGGCCGGATGGCCTGCAGGACCAGTTGAGTCCAGCGATTTTCGCCCAGTCGTCGTTCAGAAGAAGTAGAAGCTCTTACATCATTTACCTACACACACTTATCATACGAGCGAAAAGGCGAGTAGAATTGGATAAAAGACGAGGTGGGGAAAACGTGCACGAGCCAGGAAGGTCCGGGGGCTGGGAAGGGGGGTAAGGAGATCAAGTTGTAGAGCAAAACGCAGGAATAGGCGGTATTTAGGCGCGCGTGCAGATCGATAGAGCATTGCAACACTGGCACGGAGAAAGAAAAGCGATCTGAGGCATAGTGGGCTGAATGGAGAGGAGGGAGTATGAGACGACACGAAAACTTCCCTCCAACGTGAGCACAGCCGGAGACGCAGAGCCCGTCTCCCGTCGTCCCTCGGTCGTCTGATGAAAACCTGGCGGCTTCGACGATTTTCGATGATGTCCCCCAGCGCTGGTTGCGGGCAATGATTTCGGCTGCTTGGCTCGCCCACATTCTGTGATGACAGCTGACCTCTACTGGGGCCATGTTGTGCTCTGGTAGAAACGACGTCCAACGCATATTTGACGTCAATAATGCAGAATTTCGGCGATTAGCCAAAAAGTTAAAGGTGTACGAGAGCGCGCCAGCACATTCATCACAGTGTACTAGAAGGGCCTTAAGGGCCCCGGATGACAAGACAAGCTCACCCAGAAATGCTTCAAAATTGCAAAAGCAATGGAACAACGATACCCTGGACATTGAAAAGCACACAATAACGTGTGCAGGTCGCGTGTACAGCGCTTGTTTCACCGAATCTTCTATACAAAATGACATCATTGACGAGAAACATGCAGGCTTTGCTGGCAGTTGAGGCGAACGTTTCATTCATGCTGGGACCACGACAAGCCATTCAGCCAGCCGGCCAGCCGACCGACCGGCCAGTCAGCCGAGCGGGCAGCCAGGCGCTGTCTAGGCGGTCGTCAATCGACGGCGTCTCTTCGACACCACGTCGTCTTTTCCGTGCGCTGCACGTCGGCGACATTGGCGCTCGCCGCTGGCAGCGCCGTTACAAATTGATTGCCTTCACATAATTCCGCGACAACAAGCACGATATATTACATGAATTCCGAAGCGGAAGCATTTGGGAGATGTGATGTGATGTATCGTCACATCAGCCGAACCCATGCACCATTCCGGCCTGATTGTACTGACATGACGCCATCTGACGCCATCACATGGTACTGACCACAGATATCGCGATTTGTTCCATGGTTTTTTTCGCGTCACTACAACATTAATGATCCCGTGAAAAAATTCCACATTAATCTCCCTTGACGGCTTCATAAATTAAAGGGGTAGCAGGCCACCAATGATACTACACACCTTCTTGTTATAGGGACAAAGACAAGAACCGATTTGAAGGATAAAAAGGGTGAAACCCCGAATCTAATCGACCGATTCTCGAGATGCGCCAGGTATTCTGCATCCATTCTGAACTATAATTGCATTTGAATGCCACACTGCCTTTACAATGAGTCCTTAGCTACCCAGTTCAAAAGGCACTGATTTTATCTCCTCCCAGAGAAATTCTGTACCGATAAGTATACTCCGGGAGCATGAGGGGGGGGGGGAGAGTGGAAGGATTGGATGGCCTGTAAGACTCACCATTTGGACTAGATTTTGATACCCTGTGTGCGCGCAGTGGGAACCTCCTGTAGGGTGTTTGCACATTTCAGAGGAGACGTAGGGGCAGTGCTATAGAATAATTTCTCCTATGAAACTCCAAAAATAATAGAAAAAATTGTAAACTAAGGGGAAACTTTGCCTCGCATCTTCTTTGGCCCCTATTGCGGCTCAAAATTATCGCCTTATGAAAACTGAACGTTCCCTGCTCCTTCACAATGCTTAAATCGGCACTTCAATTTTTGCACAAGACTCAAGGTTTTTTTCGGCACATAACACCTTCCTCAGGCTCTCTGCTTGCTTTAGGCATGGTAATTTTAGGCATGGTAAATGCTTTATCACAGGTTCGCGAAAAGTAACTCGTAGCCCACCTCGAAGATCTGCTAAGAGGACCTGGAGAAGGTGCAAAAAGTGGAACACCACTTCGGGATAAGGTTATGGTGCGGTGCTCCAGTTCAGCAAAGTATTCATATAAAGATTAGACTTCAATTCAGTGCTCCATTGCCATGCAAAAAAATTCAATACGAATTTGTCAACTTTTATGATGAAGGTCAAGCAGATAAGTATCAAATAGTTCCCTCAGAATACGCCACATCGAATTTCACTCAGAATATTGGATGCATCTGAAGGCGTCCTTCGGATCAAATTTAATTTTGTTTTTATTATATTTCCGATTTATAACTGGTTTGGTTCCTGATAAGCTATTCAGCGCACCTGCGAGCGCACAGTATTATATAAATAAATAAATAAACAAATAAATAAATAATAAATAATAAATACAATAAATAAATATATAAATAGAATAAATAAATAAATAATAAATAAAATGGAAATGCTTTAGATGGGACATCCGACGCCAGAACGCGTGCTTCAGACAGACTTAATACAGTCTACCTTTAATCACTTGCCTGAAGGTTGATATTTCACATATATAAGTCTGCTGTCCATCCTTGCCTGACCGTCTTTCGTGCTGAGCACCTCCTCTCGTCGAATATGCCTAACGAATTAGTTGACTCCCGTTTGAATCTGTAAGCGACCTGGTCGCGGGAATTGGCGATCCTGACCTTTTTTCCCGCCGCCTTTTTTGTTACATGTAGCAGTAACTGGTCGGAGTTCGAGACGACTACAATGGTGAGGAGTATGACGTAGTCAGTAGGACCTATCAAGGGGGGGTCTTTTCATGGCAAGCCGCGCTTGTTGAGGAATCGGTTTCTTGTTATTGTAGAATCGCCATGTCCGGACCAACAAAAACATGTTTTTTCTAGTGAACGGTTTATTTGTGTGTGGTGTTGTTTGTGGGGTGGGTTTGTTGCTTGGTTTTGAGTGCTGGTGTTTTGGGGGTGTTATTCAAAAAGTAGAGCGAATGATACCCTTGATATTCGATCCCCCGCGCGATTAAATTTTTGCAATCAAGGTTTGGCGACCACTTTCGATTGGTCCTGAGGATGGAGGTGGCTCATCTCACCTGAGATTTAGCGTTTTTGCCAGCAAAACCAAGGGCGCTTTGCCAATGAATGCAAAATTTCGTGCGTCATGGCGACATCTAACCATTAACACTACCTTTAAAAGGCTGAATTCACGATGAAAAGCAACCCATTTTCTAATTAGCACTAGGATGAGTTAGTGGTACTGCGAAGAAAGGCAGAAACCATGCAGAACGGTCCAAACCCGAGAAATGGTGCCTCTTCCTGACCACTTTTATTCGAGCATTGGTGCGTCTCCCCTCATCGCTGTGCTCCTCTTCAACACTACGCTCTGCTCAACGCTAATCTATCACTCGCCACGTATGTGAACTACGGCAACCGTGATCAGATGATGCGCGGTGGCGCGATCGCCGGACCAGCCAGCTTTGAGGCATGATAGGTCGCCGAGGTCAAATTTTTCCATGCGAATTGCGCGTCACTTCGCACCCTCAGGAGGTTCGTGGGTCCCTCAACTAGGTCAGTTTCCCTTTCTTCGACCTTCATTCTAATCGCGAAATCCTCCTTTAAGCTACCTTTTCGGTACCGATGAAACCGTTCAGCGAAAATGAAACATAGTTTTGTGTTCCCTATATGCATTCCTGCAGTATGCAAAAAAGCGTTTCAAATGAGTGACTTACCCTGGAGGACCTCCGTTGTAAGACAGCAGCTATAGCTTGATAAAAATGCGGCCTGTGGCTGACTTGAACGCTTCGCGACCGCACGCCTGACTTGCTTGTGCAGCGTCCACATCTTAATCCGCGATTGCATTTGTAGATGAAGGCTAGGTAGGGGGCGTATTTATGAAAAGTATAATGATTCCCAAGTTTCAGCTGTCAATGGGGATCGAGTAGGTGTTATACTTTGTTCGAAAATTTGACAAGAAGTGCAGTGAGGAACGTCATTAGGGATAAGAAGAAAAAAGCGCCAGAGAAAACGCCAAATTTACTCCCTGTGGGAACGGACGTGGTATGACGGGGAGACACTGCGTTGCGAGGAGAGAGAACACGAGGACACGTTGTGCGCGAGAGGGTGCAGACGCCATGTAAGCCACTAATAATGATGGTAGTACGGCAGCACACGGGGCGGAAGTGGTGTAGTGACAAGTGGCGCGCTTACCATGCGAGCGGTCCAGGGATCAAATCGTGGGTCGTGAGTCGCCCGGGCCAACCAAGTCTTCCATCCCTCCGGAGTCGGTTAATTGGTACCAGACTTGTCTGGGAGGAAAAATAACACTGACTTGTACATCGGCTGGCCCCCGCAAGCCACAGTATAGGCCACATCGCATTCAAACGCCACTACGAATGTACAAATGGAAGTAGAATGCGTGCTGCATCCCAAAAAGGGATTGATCAACAGCAAATGCTTTATCCTTTATGCTTTACGGCAGCACACAAGGCAAGGCCTTAGCGCCGTTTGCACACTCCTGCG